TTAAACGGTCCGCATAATGAGATATACGGTCCAGAATCCTGTGCTGACCGAATCATGCTATATACTGGCCGAATCATGTGATATAATGACCAAATAATGATATTGTATGAATCGAATCATGACATACACTGACTTAATCATAAGACATAGTGACCGAATCATAAGAGTGAGTTTAATTTTACGCCGCACTCAGCAATACATCTCGCAGTTCTGTATATAATGGAGTCTGGAGCAGACAATCCAGTCATCAACACCATGAACATCGATCTACGCAATTGGGATAAGATTACATGTGTCTACCAGGTCTCCGAGCCTGACAACCCGATCCCGTTAGTCGCCTCTTACATGGCTGAAATTTTGCCGATGTGACTATAAATCTTAAGTCACTCACTTTAGTCGCCTCTTACGACAAGCATGGGCAACTGAAGACCAATTCTAACCCGGATCCCTGCTGGGGGGTAAATCTTACAACAGAAAGTCAAACTCTAGTCTGTCTCACAGTCCCTGAACCACATTATTTTCCCTACTGCCTAGCCCTCTCTGCAGTGCTAAAGCCCTAAATAAAGCAAGTCTAGATTTCCTCAGGTTCTGAATCTCTGGTCTTCCTGGGGTTCCTTTGCAATGTAAATGGGCTTGTTTGTTACCATCAAAATTATATATATTCAGAGACTAAGCGTTAGTCTAAGTCAAACTCATGTAGTGTGCTCTACATTATACATTCACGTCAGTCAAAAGTATGGATGTTATAATCGTAACTAATCTAAATGTATTACAATATTTTTTTCCATAAAATATGTTTGATCTTTGTCAGGATTAATGGAAAAATTTAAATTTGAAATTCATGATTATCTTTATGAAACTATCATGGATTGTGTGTGATAATGTACACCCCCAAATTCATTTTGATAGTTGAATCAGCTAAAGTGTCAGCGATAAGTTTTGTGGACGATGTAGGATAAGCATCCTTTGGGGCCCAATGGAATTGTGAACAATTTAAGGTACGGACATTTTTATGAACACTTAAATGAAACACATCAGACATATTCGGTTTCTAACACCCGCTTGCATACAAGAACAGTAACATAAGTGAAAAGGGTCGATATTCCAAAAGAAAATCTAGGTGAGAGGACGTCCATTATCTAAGTTGTCCTTAAAAGAACGCGATTGTACTGTCTATTGTCATCTAAGAGTTCACCCTTGGTCAATAACTCCTGCATGTTAAGAAATAGATCTTGCGCAGGTTGTAAGCATATTTTAGTGTTGTATTTATATTTTGGTATTTCATGCGTTCAAAATACGTCTGGTTGAGAAACTACAAAGAATATTTTTTCTAAAATAAATATGTCGGATAATTTCATATATGTTTCGGTTATGCAGATCAAGTGCGCAATAACACTAGCAAGTATTTATCATCCGATTCGTCAGTTGGAATCCTAAAGTTTTCCTTAAATCAAATATGAAATCTGAATCATGAAATTGAATCATGAGGTACCCGAAACTAGAGATTATATTGACGGAATGAAGAGGTACGCGAAGCTTGGGATTATATTGACGGAATCAAGAGGTACACTAAACTTATGATTATATTGACAGAATCATGAGGTACACAACACTAGAGATTATATTGACGGAATCAAGAGGTACACGAAACTTGGGATTATATTGACGGACTCAAGAGGTACACGAAGCTTGGGATTATATTGACGGAATCAAGATGTACACTAAACTTGAGATTATATTGACAGAATCATGAGGTACACATCACTAGAGATTATATTGACGGAATCAAGAGGTACACGAAGCTTGGGATTATATTGACGGAATCAAGATGTACACTAAACTTAAGATTATATTGACGGAATCATGAGGTATACTGACCAGAATCTTAAGATAAATCCCCAAAGTTTTAATTTTAAAACAAATTGGTAATCGAGGATTGTGTGTGCCCTGCTTTGAACGGTGGTGTTTTAAACGTATCCTAGTTTGGTGGCTCTCGACGCCGGTACCTTCCTTTGGTATAGTCCCTTTAGCGCTCAAGTTATCATAGACGGGACGAGAGACAGTGTGGACACTGATAGGTCCCTAGTACCCTATATTCTGGTAGAAAGGACCATTAAGGGAATAGATTAGGCATTACGCTTATACAGACAGTTGTTAACGCGCATAAGCGTGTTTGGGGAAATTGACTTAAGAACCAATCCTTGTTGGACATCGGTATTGTGGTCATGTGGTTGAAAGTATTTCACCTCAACTTTGATGGTGGCACCCGTGAAGATCTGGGTTATAGTTGGTCTTCAGCATCCCTTGGTTGTCGTAAGAGGCGACTAACGGGATCGGGTGGTCAGGCTCGCTGACCTGGTTGACACATGTCATCGTATCCCAATTCCGTAGGTCGATGCTTATGGCGTTGATCACTGGATTGTCTGATCTAGACTCGATTATTTACAGACCGCCACCATATAGCTGGAATATTGCTGAGTGCAGCGTTAAACAACAAACAAACACACTATGAAGGCGCACCTCTCAACAATGGTCGGACTCCATAAGAATAATATCAACAGTGTAGGGTAGCCCTTGTGGCTCGTTCGTCACGTTTTTTGGTCAGGGTTTTTGTCCTGTATATGAAAGGTAGTGTGAACACCTTTGTCTCGCGTCGTGATACGGCAGATTTATTGCTAATATCGGCGTCACAACAATCTCATCAACACAGATCTTTGACAAGGTGTTTTTGTGGGCGTTGAACACTCTGATCAGCCAATCAGCGTCGAATCTGCTGCTTTGTCCATTCGAGTGAACGAAACATTCAGATATATTTGATTTCCTGATCTCGAAAACGAATATAAGTGGGGAGTTTCGAAAGAAAACGAAATAAAGTTGGACTGTGTTGTTTGGGAAATTTCATACACCCTGCCCTTGCGGTTGGGTTTTTCGTGGCTAAGCGTTAAATATCCGAATCGAGGTGGTAAAGAAATGATGGAGCAGGCAAACTTTCGCTCTGGGGAGCTTATGTTGTCCTGAAGAAAGGTATCGTATAGGAGCACAAGAACCGATTTGAATGAACTTTCAGAATGTTTTGCCCCTTGTCAATTTCATATACACTAATGGAAATACATACGGGAACTCATGAATAATAGTTATTTCATTTCTTCATTACACATACTTAACGTAAATACAAGTTGTCACGGGGATAACTTTTAATAACTCACAAATTCACTAGATAATAACGGACAAATTCCGGTAATAAAAATGGAATAAAAACTACCCTTCTCATTAAAAGGGAACTGAAACATCAAAAATCGAAAGTGACACTTTCAAACAACATTCTCTGAAACCAGGTCTTGGTCATCATAGGGGCGAGGCCAGGTCCCTTAAAACCGGAAGTATTTGTTGAGTGTGAAGGTCAAGGTCAATATTTAATTGGTCTAAGAACTAGTCGTAATACACCGTGTCCGGGCCGTCGCTGTGATTTCTTGTTACGTTAGGGCGTCGACAGTTTCAGAGTGTAGCAGTATATCCTTTATCGTTCTTCGTGACCACCCTGTTCTCCATGTTAGAGCAATATAGCTCCAGGTGATGTTCACTGAAGTTTAAGTGAGTAGGTGCACGCACGGTTTTAACAAATACACCAATATATTTTTTAAATATTTTGTCCTCATTCAGAAAACATTGTTTTGAGCATAAATTATCTATTCATTGTATTCCTTCAACAACAAAATCAACAATAATGATAAATAATAATTCACGTGGATATTCAGATGTCGCGTGCAAAGACCCTAAAAGGCGTTCTTTCTATGGGTGGGTCGTTGGCAAGGTATAAGATCAATTATCTCAAGTATTCACAAGTACATGTACTTTAATTGTTCCCGGGACAGGTAGATATATTATATTGATATCCTAACGGCGCAACATGTTTTAAGTTTTTCAGAATTTCTATGGATTTTGGCAAAGTTGTTATTTATTTTTGACGTTATTTTTAAATATTGAAACGATTACGAGTATTTGCGGATGCTGATCAATTTATTCCGTTCATATGCACACAGGTCAACAGCCCTGCGTGGCGAAATCAGCACTCTTTTGCATATTTACAACTTAGCATACTTCGTTTATTAAACTGATATGTTAGAGAGCTAACTACATTTGAAAGTTAATTCTGCCGTTTCGTCCATAGAGGAAACACAATAAAAGACAGACCACTCCATTGCTTTAATAATTTCGGTATGATTGTGTAGACTGTTTTATAGCTCATCCGGGACCCAACTTTATATTCATTTTCAAATTATACCTTTCATTTGCATATCTGTGAATAAAAACATCAAACGGAATACGCGTGGAATAGCAAGTCAGAATTAACAATTTGACACGTGGGGGAGTCGAAGCGTTATCAATGAAAATCATTTTAGAGTAAATATTTGATCAATTTGTCATGTTGAATTTGCGCAATAATTCGTAAAAATCACGCTACCCGAATTCCCAATTACCTGTCCAAATTGTTCCAAATTAGATAACATTCTTCGTAAAAAGGCAAACTTCCTTTCGCAAACCCTCAATAAGCCGTGAAAACACGATTTCCTCTCCTGTTCAGAGCGCCATGCTGAGATCGATACGCCACAGATTGTGGGGAAAGTTAGTGGATACTAGTAAGATGTCATCACTTTCCGTCCGTCCGTTCCTCCAACGCCTTGAGCCATGGCCGATGCACCAAGATGTGGCTGTAAGGATCAAGGTCTTTTCTTTAAACGTCACTCAAACAGAATTAAAATATCAAACGATCGAGCAGAATCGCCCTGTTTTCAAATTATCTCCAAGAGACAATATGAAGGTGTTTTTCAGGAAATTTGATATCATTGCGCGTGGACGAGATAACACACATCCAGAGGGAGAGAAATAATTTTCCATGCCGGGCAAAGCTCGTTTTAACTGACTCTGGCGATGCGGGGGCACGAACGACTGTGAGCCGGCATAATGGACGGCACAAAACGCCGATGACAACTTTGACGGCGACTCGTGTCGGCTTATTGACCGACAACCAACTCTGATTAGAGAGGTGACAATGATCTCAGAGAGAAGTTCGATTGCCGTCGGATGATTTCGGAAACTTTGGGCCACAATTTCTCAAAAGTCAACATAGAAATCGGATTTTGGATCTCTCGGAGCCAGTTGGACTTGCCGCTATTCTATTGTGTATTTATCCAATTAAGCTTCATGAGACGGTCCCGAGAATGTTCAAGTTCGCAAAGAGGAGAAAATGTCCCGCCTTCCGTTCTGAGAACGATGTTGTATGGTGCACTGTTCTGCTTCCATTGAGTCTCGAGTGCGGGGTTACATTGACGTGCTAATGCATATCCTCGCCAAATCACACCCCACATATCCACTTGTCCATTGCTTGATTCTTATGAACTCGAACCTGTAAAGTTACAATAGCTTCTCATACCAACTGATGACGTAGTTCTGTTTCTTTCTGCTTCATTGGTTGTTCCGAAAGTTCAAACAGGCTCTAAAACGAACGATGTTTTTGGGATACCTAAAAAACGTAAAATATCACGTACGGACGAGGAAAAGGTCTTGTTAATGAAATGTTTTGAAAGGCAATTATTACAAGAAGACCACATAAACCTTAATTAAAACTTTCATGCCATGCAGTTAATATTTACGTTTAGAATATACAAAAAAAAAATCGCCACTCATGTCATTTTCCGGTTTCCGGTTACAAAATTACGCCCTCCCACTAAGTGAAGTAACATTTTTTCTCACGTGGAATATACATGTATTGCCATTTTTACAGATACCTTAGATAAATAATTTAAAAGCAAATCATTCACCTTCTGTTACGTTAACCAACAATTCGTTTTCATCTTCGAATAAAATACTCACGGTAATAAAATATTATAGATAAAAAAGTTATCTTAGCATCGCAATAATAGACTGTTTTTTCGTGAAGGTACAACACTCCCTGTCAGACATTTCACGCTCTCTGCTTGTCACCTGACCTGGAGGCCATTCTCGTCTCGTTAAGGTTACGAGACTGTGAGAACGCTTGTACGTGACTTTGTTAAGAACGGTCTTACAACCACCGACTCGGGGACGGCCACTGTTGTAAAATGTGAAATATACATAAAAGTTTTAAATCATATGAGAAATTGTTTGTTCTGATAGTGTTGACCCTTTGCTACGTGGGTTAATCCTGGTGTGGATTTGACATGGGAAACTTACACATACGTTTTGGTTGAGTAGATGTGTTCGTTAATGTGGATATACGATAGTCGTGTGTCTGTGTGTCTGGCTGGCTGAGATACTTACTGGTAGACCCATTACTTGACCTTAGGATACGCACAAGCAACTGTCTTCTGTGGAAAAATATTGGCTGAGCATGTTCCACTCTCAAATTGTTGTTTCAACGTGCATGTGAGAAAAATGGATCTTCTCTATTTCCTATGGTTTGCTGCAACCGAGGCTACTCTACTTACTTACTAAACGGGTCAGGGGTAGCCTAGTGGTTGAAGAGTCCGCTCGTCACGCCGAAGACCCGGGTTTACGCTGGTTTTAGCAATATTCCAATAATATCACGGCGAGGCACACCAGAAATGGGCTTCACCTTGTGAAAATGATGATAAATACAACAGCGATGATGATGATAATGATGAACATATATTCACAGTATGATGATGATAATGATGAACATATATTCACAGTATGGGTATGATAATGATGGTAATCATAATCATCACCGTCATCCTCACCTTCATAATGTGCGAAACATCATCCAATCAACACGTCCACTCACTCACTCACTCACTCACTCCTCACTCACTCACTCACTCACCTTACTTAAACACGTCCAATGTTGCCTAACGTCTGACCGAATATCTGACCTGTGCGCTGTCTATATCTGACCACCTGTCGCCACAGAAGAAAGCCGCATCGCTAGGTAAACCTTGGTGTTTATTGGAAACGAGAAACTTACAAATATGTCTTTGGAGATATTTAAAACCAATTGGTCGTGTGAATATCGAGCTACGCCTTTACCGAATGGAATTCTGTTCGTTATCTGCAGAGCTCAGTTCGTGTCACTTATTACACGGATGTTTCCATGTACACCAGACCTTCGTTTCAACAGATTGAATCCTTGATGAAATAAGTTCTTTACGTTGTAGTTTTTCTGGGTAAGAAATGAAAGCATGAGTCTATAAAATCACCCCCCGGGGCACGTCACTGATTGCATCTGCTTTATGATGCGTTTCATGTGCATGGAACACAAGAAATTTGTACCATCAGTTCAGGATTTTTTTATATATTCGCCTTCAAGCAATGAAATAACTTTATAGATGTAAAAGTGCATATCTGAGTGCATGCGACTTTGCATATGCAAATATGTTCAGTTTATTACATGTTAAAACAACGTAACGGAAACGGATGACTGATGTAGCTCAATACAACGTACGGAGTAGTTTGCGTACAAATATTGTTTTTTACGTCTCATTACAACTGCGAATGAACATAACATAATTATGTAAATCTGCACCAGTGAGCCTTTCTACAGGTAGCATGGTCATTATCATCATCATTACCACCACCACCATCATCAGCGTCAAAGGGCGGTGGGGTAGTCTAGTGGTTGAAACGTTCGCTCGTCACGCGAAGACCGGAGTTCGATTCCCCACATGGGTACAATTTGTGAAACCCATTTCTGGTGTACTGAAAAGTAGCTTCATATAAACTGTGGAGCATACACCTATGTTTGATGGTGACTGTGAAAGAAATGATTATTGAATGGTGATGGAATCGATATGGGTATCATAGTCTGCAATGACTCGGGGACTATTTTCAGCAAGGTGATTTAACCTTTGTATAATGTTTGTAATCTTTTGTTCACAACCAACGTATACCTTCTCGTGTCCAGCTGTACACTATATTTTAAAACATATATTTCGCTGATAACTGTTTCACTGAATGTTGTTTACAGATCTGCCTGTGTCATATCGGCACGGGGCGGTGGGGTAGCCTAGTGGTTAAAGCGTTCGCTCGTCACGACGGATACCCGGGTTCGATTCCCCACATGGGTACAATGTGAAGTCCATTTCTGGTGTACCCCCGCGTGATATTGCTGGAATATTGCTGAAAGCTGCGTAGAACCATACTCACTCACTCCCATATCGGGAGCCAAAACAGTGCCTGATTTTATGAGAAACAATCACGCCTTCGGGTGTCCTGTCACGCAATCAGCTAAGTGTAGGTGTCTGACTACTTGATCGAGCCGTCTCCTATTCAAACGTATAGCGAGTGAGTTAGTGAGTTTGGTTTTACGCCACCTTTAGCAATATTCCAGCAATATCACTGCGGGGACACCAGAAATGGGCATTATATATATTGCACCCATTTGGGGAATCGAACCCAGGTCTTCGGCGCGACGAGCCAACGCTTTGATCACTAGGCTAACCAACCGCACCGTAATGGCAAATGAAAGTGTACACTTATTTATGTGTGTATGCTGGTTAACTATGGACCAAACTCGATATGTGCGTGCGAGCGCGTGTGTGGTTGTTTTAGTAACGTTTTGGGCGATAGGTTTGCAGTGTTTTGGCGACTGTTTTCAATCTTGTAACGTTTTGATAGCGCTTGTTCGTTTAAGGTCGAGGCTTATGCGTTAGTTCTTCACGGCGAAGACCAGGATCGGTACAATGTATGTGTCTCTCGCCGTGATATTGCTGGAATATTGTTAAAGGCGACGTAAAACCATATTCACTCACTCATTTGAGGCCAAATCCAGGGAAGACGTGCACACGTTTTCAGCCCGGCCGTTCAGACTACTGAGCACAAATTCGAACTCGGCATCTCTACGTCACTTTTTTGCATTTGTATTCAAAGAAATGCAGAGATTGTTTTTGCGCTTCCTCTCAGATATCTGAGAGACGTTTCTTTTAGATGCTGGTGCCATAAAAAGATGTTTCTAAATGTGTAAGTTTCAAGCCTTCATTAAAGACAACTAGCGTGGGGTGGTAACCTCTTGTTCAGCATAACATAATGGAAGGAGACAGACCTATGTCTTTGCTTCGTATTGTTCATTGTTGGTTCTCATATTGTTTATTGTTTCCACCGTCACGTGGTATATTGTTCATTGTATTATGTGGAATATATACGTACCCACAATGCCATTCTGTCTGAATCCGAGGAAACAAAACACAACCACACTCTGTTTTCATATTTTATTGTCTTCATACGTACGACATTGATAACCCGTTATAAATCATTTCAAACGTACAGACATACGTCATATTAACGCCTAAAGACTATTAACACAAAAGTTATTTTACATCGGACCATTAATTCGTGAAAAAGCAAATTTCATAGCATTTTATTTTGTGCTCCACCCAATCCGACAGCTGTATGTGAATTTTAGCTACAGGATTAACTGCTCTTGGCTCCATGGCGTGGTTCGTGTGGGATACAACATGACAGGCTTCACACGTTTAATTGGTCATATTATCATGGCGTGATAATTTATAGAAAAAATCATTCTTAATTATTACCACAACAAGCAATATATTAGGATTCAGATATTAGGAAAATATAAATATAAAATATCAGTTTCACCAGGATCGGTAATAGTTTTAGAGAAAGACACCAGTCTTAAGTAATAAAGCCTCATCTCACAGACTCACTATCAAAAAAGGTATAAGATACGTCCCCATTGTTTAACAAGACTTTGTCTATGTTTATGAAGGGTGCCACCGGTAGGGCAGCATACGCTCAACTTTTCGTGAACACCTGGTATCATCACTATTTCATAGTGATTCATAAACACATGCTCTGTCATCGTATCGCATAGTGACAATCACTTGATCGTCTGGTCCAGACTCGTTTCGTTTACAAACAACATCGTACAGCTGTAATACTGCTGAAACAAATATACAAATGTATACTCATGATATAGGCAATCGACATTGCTTTCAGGAGAGATTTCTTATGGATGGGAAAGGGTTTTGTGGCTTCCATTTGAAAGATGTTTCTACATAAATCCTTAGGTAAAAAAATGTCATTATTCATTGATAACATTAAAACACGAATAAAACGCTGGGAAATGTAGGACCCAGTTTGAGCTGTGTTGCACTGAACTGTGAAAGCCTAATGAGCCATTGTTGATGAATGTGAGAGTCTGGGGTGTATACAAACAGAAGCGACAAATCGGTTTCCATATCCATAGGAAATCTCTACTAAAACGGAGCCAATTGTACAATTCCGACTGTATCGTAAGAATGTGTTATCACCATTAAAATAATGACTAGGTGTTCGCGAAAAGGCAAGCGTATCCTGCCCCACCGGTGGCAACAGTCATAAACACTTGCAAAGGCTAGTCAATTGATCACCTTAAACAATTCGGGAACGTATGGTACAAGTCAAAATATCGAATTGCATCGGGCAGAATTTTTGTCACTGATGCATCAAATTTGGAAATATCCTCCACATGTCTTCCATAAAAGGCCTTGAGTGTTGTAACCTCGATCGAACAACGTCTGGGCCACAGCCGTATGACACTCTTTGAGTGAGTGAGTGAGTGAGTTTGGGTTTACGCCGCTTTCAGCAATATTCCAGCAATATCACGGCGGGGGACATTAGAAATGGGCTTCAGATACTGTGCCCATGTTGGGAACCGAACCCGGGTCTTCGACGTGACGAGCGAACGCTTAAACCACTAGGCTACCCCACCGCCCCGATGCTCTGAGAAATATTGGTAGAAACAACAGTGTGGGGAGTATATTGTGTCATGTGCTGCAGATACAATTACTCGTGTCGACATCTGCATCCCGTGTAGGGTACATGTTGCTGCAGATGCAGGTAAGACTTTTCACTGTCCTCACCACAGATAATTAAACAATATTGAAACGAGTTTGTCTCTGATGCTGATTTGACTAATACTAACATGTACACATCGTCATCCTCTAAATTATCTGAATAACATATTTTTCTTAATATTCTTTATAAATGAAATAAATTTCATACGCACATATATTACACACATGTTCAAAAGGATCATCAGATATGTACTCCTATTTACAAATACACTTATCACATTCATATGATGAAAATCAGTTTTGTGCATTGTGTAGGAAAATAGAAATCCGTATTAAAAATGGAGAAGTATATTGTATTAACATTCACGACTTGTCTCACATAAGTGTGAGGTTACATGTCAAGGGGGAAAGAGGCGAGAGAGATGTGTGAAAGTGTATATATTCTCTCCCCCCCCCCCCCACACACACACAAATGCTCTCTCACGCCACACACAGACACACTCACTCACCCTAACACACACTCACTCACTCTAACACACACATCCTTCCATAAGGATCCGACACCATACAGAATACTTCCCATGTGTGTCCATTCTCTGAACCCAAACGATAAGGCGTTTATGTGTGTTCACGTCACTCCACCTGAACCTGTCCGGAGAGACACCCCTGAATCAAGTCTGTGACAGCGAACAAGTCCCATGTCCCGAATGATTCGTAAATATAGTCCCAGGTGAACTGGTCCTTCCTGTTTATTTGGTCGCTGCTTCTTTTCATGTGACAGCGATATGATTATGACAACTCCATGGCTTTGACGTTTTGATTGGCACAAAAGTATGTGTTTTACGGGTAAGGTCGTGTCATTCATAATAAATATTTTGTATTACCCAGGACGGCTGACAAAATATGACCAAACCCAGTGTCCGTTGGATTCATCCTTACAAGGCTTTATTCGTGTTTTTAGCATAGATGGCCTTTGGTAAATAAAACAAGGTTGGCGTGTAGGATGACTAAACGGTTTTTCACGACCCTACTCAACATTGTTTGTTTTGACTCATCTTCGAACCTTTGAGAGATGCGACAGTCGTTGGCTATTTTTCAAATAATGGATGATGGTACAATCGCTTCTGTCGGGTATTCGTTTATACCTCGTCCATATTAGTGAAATCTTCACATTGACATGAACGCAGAATGACCATGGGTTATCAGAAGTTGCCTTTTGGTAGATGTAACCTCTGGCAATCGTCCGGAAGACACGGTGTCTGGATTAACTGGGTCCGAGATGCGACAGTCGTTGGCTATTTTTCAAATAATCACATTGACATGACTCCAGATTGACCATGGGTTATCAGAAGTAACCCCAGGTGTAGACCTCTGGCAATCGTCCGGATGACACGGTGTCTGGATTAAAGGGGTCTACGGTACTGAGGTTCCACCGTGTAGATGCAGCTATATCCCGTGTACACCTGCTTCTGCGTGACGGTTCGGGGCGACGAGGTTGTTGGCGAGCAGTGGATGCCTGAAACATGAAAACATATGTTCTAAAATTTTAAATTTGACTATTCAAGGTAATTGAGAAATTCCTGGCACCTTGGGTCGACTCGCACAATGCTAACTTCGTGTTACGATTATCGTAAGTCTGTGTTGGAGTATGGGAGCTACGGTCAGTTAGCACTAAGATCGCTTTGTGAAAGTGGGGATTGGACAGGTGTTTGATAGTCAGCCTCCTAGTTACTAGTAGGGGTGACTGTTGATGGAGAAACAACTATTGTGATAGCGATAGTCTATTGCACCATACTATTGCGACCATATATTGCAACTATTATTCTCCTTGAATCGTCTCATTTGAAGTCATTTCCCCAATAAATGTATAGTTTCTATGAAATGAAAACAAGCTGAAGTAGTTTCAGTCTCTTTTAATAACTGACAAGAAACTTGAAACACAGATCCAGTTTGTTTAAGAGACAACATGGGCGGATAACTCTAAATCAAAGTGAATGAATCTGGTACTTCCTGTATTTTGCGCTGCGCATTTATCAACGGAAGTCCATGCCTAAACTATCGATAATCATACATATATATAATATCGATGCATCGATAGTTTTTCGTTTCTGCCATCGATTAATTGCTATCGGAGACTCAACAATTGCAATCCATCGATAGTTCGATGCATCGTTACAGCCCTACTTACTAGAATCAAAAGGTATATAGAATTTTCTATTTCTGACTCATTTTTAACGCGATGTTTGGAAAATAGTTCTTGCACGAAGAGGACGGTGAGGTAGCCTAGTGGTTAAAGCGTTCGCTCATCACGCCGAAGACCCGGGTTCGATTCCCCACATGGGTACAATGTGTGAAGCCCTTTTCTGGTGTCCCCGCCGTGATATTGCTGGAATATTGCTAAAAGCGGCGTATAGGTAAACTCACTCACTCACTCATGATGAAGAGACAAAAGTGCAGCCAAGAAACGCCGTGTGAAAATACCACAGAAGTTCAAATCCAAATATCATATTTGTCTGAAGAGGAATACATTTAAAATTAAGGCACGTCACCCATACCAATGAGACTTATCGTGAGACGAGAATGAAATAGTCGAGGTTTAACAGGAATTCAATGATAATATCACTGCATGTCAGTTTACGTGGGCAAAATGACGTAGTGATTTGTTTTAATGCGCACAGGAATTAAGAATCGAAACAAATCATGTTATAGTTTCGTTTACTTGTCGCTACATATTATTTCTCACAAACGGGTACGTGACATTTCCAATGTTCGTGACAGAAATGTTACATTACTTGTTAAAACTCCTGATGGAAATCGCGCCAACTCCTGATCAGTCTTCCAGTTGCCAAATATCATGTTGTATTGTGTTAATGGAAAAACACCTGTTTTGCATTTAGAAGATTGTGAATCAAAACACCTGGAACAGAAATAACAATGCATTTTCGGAATGCTTGCACGTGCCATGTCGACCACGTGCACGCATCAATTAGACATGTAGCCTAACCCTCTCCGTTTACTCGGCAATCTCATGAAACCGGTTTGAGTGTATTTACCTACTACTTCAAAGAAGACGACATGTTGTTGTCAAAGGGTCAGGGACAACCGCTATAAGTCGACGTGGAACACTTAGAAAACCCCGTTTTGATTGGTCGGGCTCCATAGTGAAAACGAGGTCAGTGCCATCCAAAACGAGGCTAAATGTCATGTCACGGGAACGCAAGCTTTTAAGCAGTGAGGGATAGTTTTGCACTTCTCTGCCTCAAGAACCACTGTTGTAGAGAATAAAAGCTTCACCCTCACGTGATAATAACAGTCGGTGGGGCGGGCATGTTCAGGGGCCTTGGATACAAGGGAAGAAGCTTGAATTAATTGCCATGGTGCTTGTTCGTTAAAGGTTGCAGAATGGAATGCATGTTGGAACATTTCGACTGACATGTTTCTTAACGCTATGCAATAGAACGGGGTGATGCATAATCAGCGCCTAATCGTATGAATAATCCTGAAAGATTCCCCGAACACAAGCTTTTGTTGTTCCATTAGACTGGTGCTGAGACAGAAATTTAAAGTTTAGAAAAACGTATAAATTAAAAAAAACTCAGACCGAATATAAATTGAAATTCAAATGAAGCCCAGAACAATGTTTGATTTTAAAATTGATGCTAAAGAACTTTTTTTCTGATTTTGACGAATCTGAAAAGGTTTGAACTTAAAAGTGCAGTCACAAATGTCTTTTCTACCGTACTGAATCCTATTACAAATATATCCCTGTGTGTTCATTGTAGGGACACTTCCTCTTCCTAACATCTGAGTGCGGCAAATTGTGTTCGTGGGAGTTCCTACAGATGTTATTGATACATTTAGACAAGTGGGAGGGGTATCCTTAGGAGTCAGTTTGGTCATCCACATCAGATGTAAACGCCAGTGAGCAGAAGAAGATTAACCCTTAACAAGCCAGAATATCGCAGATTTGGACTGATCCAAAGGTTGTGGCACCCTGACCTTGTTAATCATTCTTGACTTGAATTGGAATCCATTTTTTTAATTCAATCCCTACGGTCTGGGTGACTGACTAAGGTTATGATGCCATGTATACAACTACTTCTACTACATCTACTACTACTACATCTACTACATCTACTACTACTACTACTACTACTACTACTGTTGCTGATGCTACTACTGCCACTACACCTTTCGGTTCTCTCAAACCCATAGAATAGATATAGAAAATGAAACCAAGTCAAGTCCAGTCAAGTCCAGAATGATTAGGCAAGACTAGATTGCCAAAGCTTCTGAAAATCAGCACGGTTCTGGGTCCATTTGCGTTTTATTTCAAACTATATTTTAAAAAATCAAATATTTCTGGAACGAAATGGTAGTGAACTTGGCTGGGAATATTTGGATGAAAACGCATCAAAAAGCTCCGCTGGAAATGCGCATTTTACTGGAGACATACTACTAAATTCAATCATCTGATTCTTTAGCCAGACAGTGGTCAATCAAGTGGTCCTAAACTTAGTATAGGGGCGGTGAGGTAGCCTAGTGGTTAAAGCGTTCGCTCGTCACACCGAAGATACGGGTTCGATTACCCACATAAGTACAATGTGTGAAGCCCATTTCTAGTGTCCCCCGCCGTGCTAAAAGCGGCGTAAAACTTAAACTCACTCACTTGAAATAGTATATATGTTCGGCTATTACTCACAGAAAAAGTGGATCTTGCAAAGCAGTGACCAAAACAAAATATCATATTTGTAACTAAAACCCAGACCCACAGACCGACCCCAGTTTCAGTTCAAAAGTAAAATTGTCCGTCTGTCTGTTTTACTATTGTTCCTCCTCACAACTTCGAGTAAAACCGACCCGTGAAGATCCGGGTTAGAATATTGATCTGCTTGTCGTAAGAGGCGACTAACGGGATCGGGTGGTCAGGCTCGCTGACTTGGTTGACACATGTCATTGGTTCCCAATTGCGCAGATCGATGCTCATGCTGTTGATCACTGGATTTTCTAGCCCAGACTCGATTATTTACAGACGGCCGCCATATAGCTGGAATATTGCTGAGTGTGGCGTAAAACTAAACTCACTCACTCACTCACTCGAGTAAAACCACTTCCGTCTACGAAGACAACAAACAAGGCGTCGACCCCTCAACAATGTCGCCCAAATACTACATGTGAAGTGCACCTCGTAACCATCAAACACTCAACCCTATCCGATGTCTGGACACAACATTCATTAAAAATAGTTTACAATGTATGATGATGATGTTGTAACAGAAACAGTACGAAGCTCACCCTTTGGTCTTCATCACCATCCTCCTCATGCTGTCGTACAGGGTTCCCCCTTCATCATGTTTCCCCTCTGCGAGTATAGTCTGTAAGATGCAAGAATACTGACTCTGTTACAATTAACATGAAAAATGACTAAGGAAGCGCTGT